ATACACGTTTTAATCAACATATATTATAATGTAATGACTATGGAATCTGGGAACAATTTTGTAAAATACCAACTTTCTGCAAATAAAACATGTATTTGTGAAATAAAAGCCGATTTCACTACAATAAAATACCGAAACACAAAGTACATACTTATATTTTTATATGGTCTATTGTATCATTGCATCTGAATTTGAAAATACTGAAGATCCTGTACATGCCATTCTAACGAGTTGCATCTCTAAACGACAAACGCCAGACAACAATGAGTATATTTCTTAAAAATGTGATTATTTTTTTGAAATCTCGCGTTCAACCGAGGCCAAAAGTATTGTTATGTATAATCTGTGGGTCACCAGACGAGTTCAATAAGCCGCACCACAACTACCACCGCTTGTTAATATTGCAAACAAATACCCTCCAAAGGTTGTCAAAATAAATTTTGGTCTGATATCTAATATTTCAGTAATGTATGAATGAAATCCTGTTTAAATATTATTTTCATATTACTTTTAATAATAATATTGAGTAAAAACAAAAATGAATAATATTTAAGAGAAACACTGATGTTTAAATATTTTCTCTCGATAATTTGAAAGCATTTTAAGAATATTTTATTATTACTTCCCATAATATTGCTGTGTGAGCATTTTTGCACTTCTAGTGCTTTCTTTCAATGCAATATATTTTATAAATGTTATAAACTCAACTTGATATTTACGTAAACCGACATAAACAGACGGGTTAATTATTTGATACTGGTTGGAAATCTCGAAATTGAGTGTTACGGACAAAATAACCGTTTACTATTCAATGAAATATTAATTAGCCACTTGTGTATTCCACGCAACAATATAATAAAAAATGAATGGAGAGTAACAAGCCGCAGCGTAGAAAATTAAAAATTTACAATTCGAAAGCCTCGTGGGATTTAATTTATTGTGGAAGTAAAATAATTATAACAAACAATTAACAAATTATAACAACCGTATTATGTATGATGTCTTATTATGTTATCGTCCGGAATCGTTTTGCTAACAACACATAGACCATATTACTATACACAATACAAAACAGTAATTAATCAAACGGTATTTTTTATACATCAATTATAAATGCCATAATTTAACAATTGAATATCATATGCACACAAAGAAAAATCGGATACCGAAGAATGAGTTCTGATGAGACAAACACATTTTAGATTCGATGCAAAGCCGAAAACGTACATGGATGTCGCAATGATGTTTTCTAGGCTGAATCAAATCATACACCGAGGAACATGGAAGACCGTAAGTTGAAAATATACACCCCTTGAAAACTCTCTTAAAGAATAAATACTTTTCAACTTAACAAATACGGCAAGCCAGAACTCTTTGAAAACTGGTCTAATTAGTTCAATTTTTTTTTGGGGTATTTTTTAAATATAGTGTCACAGATATATCAACATTTAAAAAACCAAACAAAATATCATTACCATTTTCCCTAGGATGGAGTGGGACCTTTCAATCAAAGTTGAATGACACCACATCAGTTATTATGAACGTCGTAACATAATTATATGAGTGTTTATTGAAAAACAGTAAGGTCCAAGATGGAATTAATAATTATACTAGTTTCGATGCGGAGCTAAGCTGTTTTTTTTTTTTTGGTTTGTTTATATCATTTTAACAGGTTTTTTTCCCACAACATCTATAAAATCGCGGACAGCGGTTTTTACCTAGTTTTGTCTCTCTGTTAAAATATCCACTTTCGATTTTTTCCGATTAAAAAATCGTACAGCGTAACACGCATTCTACGGACACTCGGTCATCCTATTGGTCTTACACATCAATATCATCAAATAAAAACTGGTAGGCGATAAAAATAATATTTGCTTCAGACCATACTGCACTAATCTGCGGCATCATACGACACCGAAACTCTTTCGTATTATGATTATGATCTTTCGGGTTAAACTCCTATATTGCATAAGTAGTAATACATACGTATTATAATACAACATTGTATTTAAAAAGTAGAACGGCGCCGATTATTAAAATCTCGGACCAGTGTAAAACGTTCAGGTTAACACACGTTAGTGGTTGTAAGAAAAACGACCATCCGGGAATAGACGAGTACCGCGCGGTCAGGCAATGAAAGACATTTTTTAGTTACACAATTAGTACATAAAGACACGAATGCGAAGGTACAACAACAAAATTCGGGACATAAACTTGAACGAATACTTACCTACTTTGAAAATGCCATTTAAATCGAATGAATTTTCAAAATGAAACGCACGTTTTTTACTAATTGGCCGGTAAAAAACAATATTTATAATTAGCCGGGACACGACTGAACACCATTAACGAGAATTTATTCCGCCATATTCGGGTTTCGCTATTGACACAGGGACTGTTATGGTCGCTTAAAGTCGTCGTGGACAATTATTATTGTTGATGTTAACTAATCGAGATTAGAACTGGATCGACTTAAGAGTGCAATTACACCGGCATGACTAATAATGGATAAAGGTCAAGCCGTGTAATTATATCGACATTCAATGGCATTGGAGCTAACAGTGGCCGAGAGCTTACGCTCCAGTGAATCCCCAGCTAGCATCCCGTCTACCATAGCAGTTTTCTAGTTTAGTATAAATAATAATTATTACACTACTCTCAGATATATTATGCTAACAAAACATTCCAATCTGCGCTTAAACCTTGGCCGTAATATTCCAAACGACCGACTTGAAGGGGCTACGCGAACTTTTTGAAACACACCCAGAGCCAATCCTAATTTCATTTAAAACCTTATTACAAATCCGAACGAAAGCGACTACTGAAACTACTGGACCGATCCAGTCGCATAAAAATACCACTTAAACATATTATACACACCAAAATATAATTACAAACTATGAATGCTGCAACTAATTTATTTTATTTTTTATGAGCGAATATAGTTGAACAAGCAGCATACACAAAAAAAATACTAAACATCTTAATGAAAAGAAATTTAGAATTCTAAGTGTTAAAATAGGTATATAAAAAACTCGCTTTTAAATCAAAATTGTCAACTCACAGTTAGACAAGTAATTTAGTGCAAACTTTTATTGGATAGTAATTAGAAGATAAAACATTTTAAACTTTTAAAAATAATAAGAAGCATGATAAAAATATGATGTTTAAGCGTTCAAATACAAAATAATAGCATGGTACGTAACTATTAATCACAATGATGAGACAATAATAGCAACACAAAATATTATATGGAAAATTTCTAAAGTTTTTTCTTGTTTTCTAATTATGTAGTTATTAACCGAAAGGAATTTCGTCGAAATATTTTTATTTGCATATGACTTTTAAAATAAGGGGTTTAAAGGATTTTGATAGTATATTATGATTGACTCATTCAAATTTAGGGGTAGTTTTGATTGTTTTATCTTGTTTGTCTGACGATTGTTTGCAACCATTATAGGTATTTACAATTTATGATTAGTGTAAGAGTAGTTAAAAAATACTATAGATGATATAATTTATTAAAACTTAAAATATATTTGTGCAAATGGCTGTAAAGATTGATGAAATCCTATAATCATTAAGCATTTATTTCATAACAGCAAATGACAATCGATGAAACAATACAAGTCATGATTTAAAACTATCAGCATATTAAAGATATTTTAACAATATAATAATGCTGAAGAAACATTAATGAAAATATATTACTATATAAAACTAGATCCAGACAACCGATAACAATGTTTAGGCAATAATTTAATTAAAAGAAGTAAAAAATAGTATTGTCGGTGATTTCGTATTGGCAAGAGTCAGTCATAGTCGAATTATTCTTAAAAATAAAAATTCATTAAATGCATTTCTTATATTTTTAAGTGGCCAACAAATATTATTATTATTATTTTCTTCAATACAAAACCAGCTTCTATTAGTGCTCTCAGCTTCGGGTTTCTCTCAATGCCTGCCTGGCCATAACCCGGAACGACGCTGAACACTTTTCACTCTAATTGTATAAATAAATGTATGTTTAACTCTAATAATATATATGTACAGATAAACAATCCTCGTACTACAACAGACTACTCACATATTTTAACAATCACTATTAAAAAAGTAAAACTATACTTATTGATGGACTTCAAAACGTATAAAGCCAAGTTTCAAAATTCATAATTTAAAACACAAATAATCGATAAAAAGTATTAATGCAATTTTACTCGATTAAACATTCAATTAAAAACTGTAAAAAAAAAATAAAAACACTAAACTTTGTGACCTTTTATTTAATATTAACTAAATATGTTACAAAATCACTTAGAAGATTCCATATATGCTCGTCTCCTCTTCCTTAATCACAAAAATCGTTTTATAAAACTAATATTTTTGGAATAAATTCCAAGTAATCCCTCCAAAACCGGTTAAGTGAAATTGTTGGTCATAGAACGATAGTACGAGTAAGTTTAATGCTCTCCAAAATTGTAGTATTTAAAAAAAAACTGGTATTGGCCACCTTTAGAATAAAAGCAGTTTAACTGTAAAGCTATATTATTTTTTTTATTTGGGGGCTTTTAAATATGACCGTGGCTTTCCCAAGCCATCAAGCTAATTAGAACTCTGTAGCCTGTTCAAAAGGGTGGATTGGCATTGATGGGCGAACCGTTCTTATTGGGGCTTATAGAAACATAAATAAATCTGAAATAAGAAAATGTGATTATTTTTAACACAATTGTAATGGTAAAACCTCATTTAAGCAAACAGCTATAAAAAATTATCTTTGCCCGTTTTTATGAGTATTTGTTTTATTAAAATCTATACTGATTGATTATAGTCATTAATTTTTGTGTCGCGGATGCGCGAAAAAAAGTACCATGCACGTGAGTCTAATGGTAATTTTTAAACAGTTTAAATTCGTTTAAACGAATGTATTTGTATTGCATAATGACATTGATATGTGCGAGTCAAAAGTTGGTTTCTCATTGCTTCCCGTTCTCCATTCGGTATTGGAAGACCGAGGAGTAGGACCTTCGTCGTCTCTTGGACAGTGGCTCGCGGTCGGTCTTCGCGTGTACAGTGTGAAGTGTAAGATGAACATGTTTAGTAGTTTCGCGTTGTACTGTGTTCTGTTGTTGTGTTATAGCTCCGGGCGCTGCGTTAACGGTACAGGTAAGACAACAAAATCACCTACATTAATATAACCCGATTCAATTTTTTTATTCTTTATATAATAATTAATATATAAACGTATTTTTGATTTTTAAACGTTTTTTAAATGCTTAATTATTCATTATTTTACCGCGCTTGAAAGAAAAAACTTTTTTTTTTACCAATAAAATATATTTATTTCTAGACGAAAACGGCCTTTGTTTAAAGTTTAATAACATTAAAACTAAACAGACCAGTTATTACTTCCATGCAACGAAAACTGAACCGTGTGCATAAACTTTAATACAATTCAATATGAAGATGCCAGTAGTATACATTTAAAGCTATAAGTCTACCGATATGGAAATTGGAAAATAACTAAGAAAACTAAATAATGACTAGTAAACGCATTTTATCTCGTTGAGTTGGACCCTTGATAAACACAACGTACTTAATTCGCTCAAATCTTGAAGCCTAAACTATAAAGTTGTAGTAAATTGTATTTTGTCAGAAATGTCCTAATTTTTGAGAAAATAAGCTTAGCAGCTTTAGTTTGATACAAATTACATCCACCGCATTAATCCTAAATTATTTACAGATAACTTATAAATGTGAAAAAATTAGAAAAAGGCTAAAAATGATGATTTGAAATCATGCAAAATGACGATGATAAAACGCGCAAGCACGATGTAATTAAACTAATTTCTTTCTGAGGGTTTGTTAATAACAATCAAATGCCAATAAAACTGCAATTAAGTTCAAAGATTTATTAGTACTATCGCACTAGTTACATAAAGATAATTACTTCAATATCAGTTTGTTCTGTTATGGGTGAGTTTATTTAAATTAAAGATCATCACCACTTGTAACAATTCAGATAACGATGGATAAACTGCATGAAGGTAATTGAGATATTTAATTTCATAATATAATTGCTGTCCAGCCTCGGCAGCAAGCAATAAAAAAGCCTTTTGAAACGTTCTGAAAGCTTACGGTTATTTTACGATTACAATTCAAACATTTATAACCGGTTGAACGCCGGTTAATTATTATTTCAATCTAGTCGTTGTGTTCAATTGTCAAAATTAATTAAAAACCCATTTTATTGAAAAATCAATACCGATGTACCGCAATAATTAAAATTACCGTTTAAATTATTATTCGAACACCGACGGCGAGTTCAATCGACGGAGTGGTGAAATAAATTGCGCTATTTTGTAACCGCAAAACAATGGCTTCGTATTGAAAGACGGTAGAAGTCACTTGAATGAATCCACTAGCGGGTACCTAACCTATCGGACACCCAAGACTTTTTTCCCCTTCAAATATCCTCCGCGGTTGCAATAAAAAACTTACACTGAATATGATTTTGCGCTGCTGTTGCTGCTGCTGCTCCCTGAAATCGTGACCTAGCCGGCCTATCGGTCCGGCGGATCTCGGGCGAGCAAATACCTACCGATAATTACGGTAATATCCAAAGTACGTTTGAAAAGTCGACAAAACCCATTACATATTATGCGCACGCCGGCCAGCAGAGAACCGGTCGAAGGATATTATATAGAGCGTGAAAATAGTTCGTGATGACAATTGGAACAATGACGATGAAATCCAAGGAGGCCAGTACCGCCGCACCTCCTTCTGTGTGATCCACATTAGGACCAAGTTATCCGCATACATAATACACCTAACTCGCAGGCTCGGCGGCAATAAGCAACTGGGAAGTTGACCGCGAGCCTACGGTTAAGCGTGCAACAGGATATTCTATTTTGTTATACGCCCGTTATGAAAAAATTGGCATTTTGCTACTCTAATCACGAGTACCGCATAAAAAACAATAAGTAGATAAAATTAATGAAAACTCATACCTACCGTTTTACAGCCTATTTATTGCCAGTGCGGAGGGGTCGGCCTAGCAATAAAATACTTACTATGGTATTAAATAAATCACTTTTTTAGTCTACCCAGTTTTTTTAAGAGTGTAAAAGTTTACACCGGAAAAATAAATAATAACTGTCCTAAATGTCCGATCCAGTAATGTTGAAGTTTGTATTAGGGTTTAAAAAAAAATACGTCTGAATGATGAGTCAGTTGAAAATTATGAACATGCAATATCTTTGAAAAGTTAATCTAATCGCTTTTGACTGAGGAACAGAACATAAATTATTAATAAAATAAAGTTAAAAACCAAAAAATCGTATGCATCTTATACACTCAGCTTTCTTATTGACGTTTAAGCGCAATACAAATCGTACCGCGTGGTCGCCATAATAACATCATTAGTATTTATCAGATCAACGTTGAAAGAAACTGAACCGGAAAATAAATGGTATTTTTTTACATAAAAAATGGACTATACACGGTCTTACTTCCATCTTCTAGACGTCACAACGAAATATGATCAGAAATCACTTTCATTATAGCAGTGGTGTATTCTAATGAGAGAATTAAAATCACTCGCTCAGTGAAGTGTAATTTACGCAAGGTAAAATAACATGTGATCATATTATGATCTCGCCCAAAATAGTATTTAAGTAATGCATTTCGTTACCATTAATCAAATCAGATACTGTCATAAATATTAATCGATATTAATAATTACACAATAATCCTATTTTATAATTACACGGTAACCCAACTATATTTAAAGATAAATAACAAAATGAACACCTAATTTACATTTTACGTGATTTGGGCTATATTTCAACATTTTTGTTCCGTTTAAGTATAAATAAAATTAACTTATTTTATACACTAACAACTTAAATTATTATCATGCTAGAAAACCGCTAGTCAATTTGATATTTAAAACGTCAATGGAGATTGCATTGCGTGTATAGGTAAGGTAAATATTTGTAAATAAGCTAACAAGGCTTATATTATATACAAATCGGTTAACATACTTTTGATACCAAAAGTGGTTTTATAGATTTATGGATTTGACCTTTAAAAATGAAAAAATAACCATTATATATTATATAATAAGATGGTCAGAGAACTAGATTCACAGATTAAAATTAAATTTTTTTTTACTAGTGATAGTTGTACATATGAATATAATAGGCACAGGACAGACATATTAGTTATAAATATTTCATTAAACGTACCTCAGCCAGCTGTTACGTGGTTTTGCACTGAAAACAACTAACGACGACATACATAATACACCGTATGTATTTTAAGGAAGGCTGAAAGTATATAGTGACAAGTTGCCATCGTTTCCTAGTCCACAGAAATTATGTCATACATAGAAGAAACTTTATAATAATTTATACAATACCGAGGAGAGTTGATTCCCGTAGGCGCTAAAGCAACAATAATTTGTTTACCTCAGAAAGGCTAGAAAAATCAACGTCAAACAACCCGAACTTACCTAACCAATTATACAATTCAAAAAGTTTTTCGCCTTTGGTCACAAAATCTGAATCAATCCTAATCCAGACCGACTGTTCATTAGAAGTACGCCAGGTAGAGGACGGCAAAAGGTTTAAACGCGTTTTTCTATGCGGGAATCGTTTTATTTAAGTTGAAAAATACAGGCGCCGGCTGAATTCAAATAATAAAATCTACGCCGAAACCGTGAGAACACAGTGTAGAAATCGGTTGCCAAAATACACATTGTAATAATAATAGTATACTTAAAAATATTGTTATTCAGTATACATTATAATATTATTATTGCAATAGCGACAAGAGAAGTGCAGAAGTGTCGATGATATTACATTAAACACCGCGGCACCTGGGTATATAAAAAAGAAGAATAACGTCCAAATCACACACACACATTGGAATAATAAAATATCGTACTCCCATAATTATTACTGCTGTATTATATAAAAAAATAATAATAATGTAAACGGGCCCGGCGTGAAACTCCATGGTTATATATATAATAATAATATTATAATAGGTGGCAATAAATACAATTTTTTTTTTAGCTTCGACGCGAAGCTGGAGAAGGTATTTGTTTGTAATTTGGCCAATAATATCACATAAATATTTTGACGGTTGCGTAAAAAAACGGAATCTCCACGACGAGAAAACCATAATATGTGAAATGTTTATACATATATATATGTATATACCAAAAATTAGTGAAATATATTTGTGTGTCTATTTTCAAGAGTAACTGCGTGTGGACGTTACGCAAGGCGCATCATCCTCCAACGAGAGGACACATCTATAACACATTAATTTTTTTTTTACCGGTCAGTCATATTTCCAGTTCGACGTGTATTTTTATACATACACATATTACCCATTAACGTCATAGCTCATAACGGTATAGACGAAATCGAATCGTACCAAACGCGCGCAGAAATGAACACCGGTAGCCATCACGGTGGCATATAAGCGCGGGCACGTGGCATTTCAAGTTATTACGATGATGATATAAATTAACTTGCCGCCCGACATAATATAATATACTTACAATATATTATTACTATGACGGCGATGTGTACAAACGACGATCGCGCTTTCTCCGCAAACGAGTTGTTTTAAAACAAAATACATTTTTTACGCCAAAAAAATAAACAATAGTAAATAATAGTAATACTAATATAAACACAACACTAGCCAACGATATTTTTCGATTTTATTGTTTTCAAACGATCCTGAGCCCACTATTTTGGGATACGCCAAAAAAAGAGATAATCGATTAACATTAACATGTCTAAGCAATAACAATTTGTAAGCGTTTGGACTAAAATTTGACCTTATTAGTTCTTTACGCTAATGACGTTCAAAATAATTACTGGCAAAACGGATTGTTGATTTTTTTTGACATCAAATCGGAGGTTTTTTATAGACATAATATATTTGCCATATATTTTTTAGTACTAGTAATAATGATGGGAATAAAGATCTGACCGGCGACTGTATTTTACTTAACCGAGGCTATCACAAGTTAATACAAGTAAATTTATATCAATAAAATGCATAGACAAGGGAAAGGTTAGGTGGACCATGGCCCAGTCAGAAATCAACCGGCTTTCATTTAATCCCACCCTGACATGTTTAACGACACTAGAAATATAGAACAGGTTATCATTTTGCTTTTTAAATTCAGATCGTAAATCAGTTGAAAATTAAATTTTATTTATTATTTGAGTTTTTATAAGATTTTATTTAGAATTTTTTTTTATTTAAATGAAAATGTATTTGAATAATTCTGAGTTTTTACCCCAATTAATAACAATTATTATGAAAAGAACAGCTGTTAATATATGAATTTCACCAACTTATAAATTGAAGGCGAGCGTTCGACCACATTGAATCGTCCATTCGAAAATATTAACAAATCCATATAGGCGTGATATGTAAGAGTTGTCTGGACAGTAAAATTGTGATCATTTCAAAAGATGGACGCGGTCCGTTAGACTTCAAACCCATACACCATAAAGTACCTACCAGCGAATGGTACACAACGGATATTTTCCTTTTACATGTTTGAAAACGTACTTCTCGAGGTTAATTTATACACCACTGGTAGCATGACGTTACAAATTAACCTACGTACATACTCGTATGCTATATTACAATTCTCGCATGTAAATTATTAGAAACATTTTAACATAGGCCTACATGGACAATGGACGCACGGATTTTTTTTGATTTTGAACCATTTGCCTTGAGCTAGTACCGCCTCAGCCCTTAGAGGTCTACACCAGAACACAATTTGGTGTAGTATCTCATACGTAGATGCGCCACTGATTGTACTGACTCTTTATAGTTTTTTAGACTTCTCCGAGACACAAAATATATTACGAACATACATTTTAGTGTCTTGAGGATTTCCTTTTAGAATGTGCCCCCCTCCCCCTTCGACTTCTACGTTTAAATGTCAAATTACAGAGAGCACTAAACGTTTTGTTCCACGTGCGCGTTAGCCAACTGGATTTCCGAATCACGACTTCGTGTGTTTAATGTGAAGAAAACAAAAAAAAAGTTAAATATATATTATTAAAATACCGACAGATTGCAAAACAACGTTATAGGCTGTACGCAGAACGGCGGCATACGCCAACAATACAAATGCAACGAGACTTATTTGGATTGGGCGGTGTCAAAAGCTACTAAATTTTTTAAAATAATTTTTTTATTGTTATTTAATTTACTTTTGTCGTGTACGCGATCGACATGGGCGTTTTTTTTCAATATTTCATCAAAGGCGGTCGATTTAAATGAAATCCAAACCGACAGTGACCGTCACCGCAATTACTTAACCAACATACCAAGGGGGGCCGGCGCGCGACCATCTCGGGCTACTGCGGTAGTAACAATAATAATTGTGAAAGAACAATTGTTTGTATTGTACTGGATATAATGTTATATTTTAATAAAAACTACAATTATACAGTTGGCCCGGTAGAGAGCAAAAAATAAAAACGGTATACGCTTTCGGTTTCACTTTCGGGCGTGTCGCGGCGTTACATATTATTATAATAATATAATATAATTATTACTATTTTTTTTTTTAACAGTATAATACCTATTCCTACGATAGTCATCTCTTTTATTGTATTATTCAATACACGTTTTTGATATCTCATAATGTTTGTTGTATTGTGTTCGCAGCGGATTCGAAAAGCCGGGACGGTGGCCAACAAACGGTGCGCAATGGCACGGTGGCGGCGGAGACACCACCATTGTCGGCCGCCGAACGCGTCCGACGGTTGATCCCATACGTGACTTATTACATGGTGGGCACCAGCGACGACAACGACCTCGCTCAATTCCGCCAACAACAAAACCGAAACCCATCGTCGACCACGGTTAGACCTCCTCTGCAGCAAGTGACGGCCGACCCCGATTATTTCGGCCAAAGCAACTACGACGCCGTCGCCGGCGCTGGCCAACCGCACGCCGACAGCCCGCCAAAACAACATTACCATTACCAACAACAACAACAACAACAACAGCAACAGCAACAACAACAACAAGGACAGTACTACCGTCAGTATCCCGATTACGCATACCGGCCTCCGCCCCAGCACTTGACACCGTCAGAGTACTTGAGGTTTCCCAGTTCGCAGAAAACCCGTCGGCCCATCGTCATCGCCACATCACCCGCCCCGTTGTATGAAGTGGACACCGAACAACAGTCCTACGTTTACACGGCTCGCCCTCAACCGCAGTACACCAGTCCTAGTCCCCGTCCCAGTGCGGTGCCGCACTACGAGTACGGCGGCTTCTTGCCGACCGCGCCGCCTCCCGAACACCACCAACAAGTGGTTTACTACACCACCACGGCCAAAACGAAGAAACTCAAGCCTAAAAACAAAAGACCTACCACTACACCAACCACCACCACCAGGTTGCCGGCACTGACTTTACCGGCCTTGCCGCCTCCACCCCAGCCGCCACCTCCGGTCGTGAGCACAGACAAGTACGGGGCCCTCAACGATCTGCTGGAAGGCTACGACCTGAGCGGACGGTTGTCCAATAAGATCACGGCTGACAACATAGACTCTAACATTCAGACCCTGTCGGCAGTACTGCAGATCCTGCAAAAGGAGGCCGAACAACCGCAGTACATCCCGAAAGTGCCCAAACTGAAAACCACCACGTACAAGCCGTACCATCAGCCCCATGACGACTACGACGACACGGGAGACGTGGGCAACCCTGGTAGACCCGGCGTGGATTATCCCATACTTTCTGTCATACCCAAAACCAACTTCGACTGCAAGACCCAGAGATACAAAGGATTCTTTGGCGATCCCGACACCCATTGCCAGGTAAACGCCAAATCAATCCTATTTAAACCCTAATAGTCCTAAAAGGTAAACAGGGATTCCCCAAATGTCAATAAAACACTAACATTTACGAGTACTTAGTTGGGATTAGGAGATTTGCAGCTTATAAGTTGTAAACGGCACGCTTAAGGCTGTAAGTGTATGGGAACGGGATTTAGTATTGTATATTTAAAGTCAGATCTAGATTACATTTTGCATTCTGTCTTTAAATTACTACTATAATTAGGTTCTTATTAAAAAGGGACATTTTGTGATGGATTTCAATTCGTTAACACAAACTTTGTTAGTTAAACTAATAAAAAGTGAAATAGACTTCTCTATATACTCATTACACGCGTTATCCTTTTCAGGTGTGGCATTACTGCGATTTGAACGGCGGCCAAGCATCGTTCCTGTGTCCAAACGGTACCATATTCAACCAAGTGACGCTGACCTGCGACTGGTGGTTCAACGTCAAGTGCGACACGACCGCACAGCTGTACGTGCTCAACGAGCGCCTGTACAAGTACATCATCCCGTCCAAGCCCAGTTTCCCGGAGGACTTCGAAGGACCTCTGGTGGACAGATACTTGGAGGAACAGTTCCGGGAAACGGAAAATAAGAGAACCCCGCAGAAAGAGAACGCTTCGGAAATGATGATGATGAATACGGTGATGATGCTGACCACTAACACGACCACTGTCGAGCCGGACACGGTCAGGACGCCCTACCAGCAATTGCTCGACGTCGACACAAAACGCTAGCACATATTGACATGTGTACATATGTCTATTTTTTATCTAAAAGCGAGATTACTTTAAAAACATGAAAATGTCAAAAAACCTAAGTCGGTTTTTGGAAAAAGCGTTAAGCCCGACCAACAAAAATCGCCTCTCCTTCTTTATTTATTTTTATCGAAATCACCACACGCATTTTTAATATCCAGAATGTGTCAATTGACGAACATAATGCATTACATGAATATGTTGTCAAACTCTCTATTCAGCCAAAGTGCCATTAATACTGTGTGTATTTGCATCGACAATAGTAGTAATAGTTAACAGAACAATGTTTGTATAAACATTTATATTGTTCAAGAGCTCAATACAGAATGTGCTCAAATATGATAAAACTATTTATCATAATGCGCTCGACGTGCGCGTTTCGAATTCATATTTAAACTGATATATTATTATTATATAAATATTATTATTATTATTACTTATGTACTCGTTGAGAATAGTTACGCACGATAAACGTTTATTTTATTAGAAAATTGAAAAAGTATAATCAAATAGGATTATAAAATAAGCAAAATGTTTCTTTCGTGCCAAAGCCCAAAACTATAAATTTACAATATATAACATAATATAAGCTATAAGTGATAAGTAATTGATATACTCAAATTAAATATAATTATACTTTAATTAAAATGAAGCTTTTAAAATTAAGTTAGGGTCGTGCAATAGTAAGTTATAATTTTGAGTTTAAGGTGTAAATATTATTATATTTATGTTAACATAATTATAATTTAATTAAGATCACAACTATATTTCATCCTACTATTTATTATAAATAAACAATTAAGGTATATATTTTTTCTAGTTTATAATCAGTTACTAATTAGAAATGTTGTTATTTATGATCAAAATTGTACTTTTGATTTAAAATTACAATACTATAATAATTACCTATATAAAACATTTATTTTCCATGTTAAAATAAAAAATAATAATAAATGTAACGTTATTCATCAAACATAAAAAATTTAAATGGTCAAATAATTAATTACACATAGACTGGTATGAATTTTAATTATCTTCTTGATTTTTAATAACCCATCGAGTAGTGTTTGTTTAAATTGAACAGACATAACTCGTTTGTGTATTCCATTTCAAATTAACACACCCTTGCACAACAACCAGTTTAGGTAATCAATGGTTTTTGTGAAATTTTAACATTTTAACATGCACAAGTCAATGAAAAGTATAAAAAATACCTCCTAAAGTACCGAGAGTGCCTAACCTATCTAAGTAATATACACTGAATCACAAAAATCACAAATATTTTGCTTTTTTTTTATCAATTCAACAATATATCTAAATTCTAATATACTGACTTATAAAAAACTTGTATTAAAAAAAATTATATTCATCTTCTATTGATGTAATAGTAACTTGTTGGTCATTAAAACCTTCTCCATAATTCAGCTTTGAAATCTTATTGGTGACGACACGTTTTTAATACTCGATTAAACTACTTTGTGGGTTATACATTTGTTTGATTAAATATGTCCCCGATACACAACACAAGGTCCTATTCAATATTTTATGTCGATACAAGTTTATGAAGATTTCTATATACAATTTGATTTTTGAAGTTAAACTTCTAATAGAAAGAGGGGGAGGTTAAATAGAAACAAGTTATTGATTTATCAGCTAACCGAGACGAAGAAGCATTATTGCTTTATATACACCAGCTGATTAATAATTTATTTACTAATTATTGTCAATTGAGTATAACATATTTGTGTTTAAAAATTATATTTAAGTACTATATACGTTTATATATTTTAAATATGTGTATAGTGAAATGTTTGCAATTTATTTAATTACATAATATGTTTAGGTTTATTAGGTTTTAAATATTTTATGTATATATTATACACTGAACTGATAAATAAATTTAATTATATATTTATCATTTTAAATTAGTTAAAAATAAAATTTAACTAGCCGCCTTGCCGTCTATGGTTAATGTCCACCCCACCAAAAATATACCAGAAAAAAAATCTCTCAACGAAATATTTATCTTCAAAATTTAAACTGAAAAGAAATATCTATCTTGTTTTAACTTTAAATTTAAGTATTAACTAACAAACAATACTCGCATGCAACCCATAATTTAAAAATTATTTTATTATTGAAAAATTAATTTAACTTACATCACGGCAATTTATGAGTTTTCGGAGCAATAATTCTCCCTTTGACATATAATCATTTAAATTTTCCACTTTAGACGAATTCTAAAACATAAATATAAATATACATAGTAAATTAATAAAAATAGAATTTAATAAATAATATTAAATTATATCTTACATAAGTTTCAAGTTGAATGATGTCGTGCGGTCTATGGCTGTCAAGCGCACACACCGAGCAAACTTCCAATTGACAAGTAATACAAACAAACTCGATATTTTTCATGTGTTGTTCACACCTTGGTTCTGGAGGAAGTTGTATGTTGATTTTATTTAACGTTTCCGGTATATGTTGAGACGTGGCCATACTTTCCATGTGAATCTTAAGGTGTTATAATATTTTTTTAAAAACAACAACAGTGTAAGTTGTGATAATTGTTAATTACCTCGTCGAAACACAAATTGCAAAACGCCTCATCACACTGACGACAAAAGCAGTTTGCAGACTTATGACAACTCTTACATAATTCTATATGAAAAAAAACACCATATTTAATTAAAATAAATATTAAATAATAAAAAAAAAAAATGAATATATTATTTTGTACTAACTGTAATTGGAATCCAATGATTTGCTGGGACAATAATTAGTCATTTTCAAATTAGAAATACTGCGGTGTATGGCCATTTGTTTATTAGATGATAACCAAAATACTTGGCCGATTTTATAATAGTGCACAGGCAAATTTCCAAGACTAAAAAATCAATTTATACAAATAAACAATCGTTGTTTGATTATTCAATGATAATACTCTTACTTGTAGTTGTGTGCTTGCTCACAAATACAGCACGTAATTACTGGACTTCTTTTTGATAAAAATTTGACACAATTGCGACACATGTCATGGCCACATTTTAGTAGTAAAGGAATTTTCGGTCCATTAATTTCTAAAAAAGTTAAATTAAAACAATGTTAAATGGGTATAATATAAAAACGAAATACAAACAGAAGTATTGAGTATTGTTTATATTGTTTTTTTTTAAATAACGTCCATAATCTGAAAAAGGAGTCTTATCGTTTTAAGCCAAAAAAGTCACTTTTACATAAAAAAAATGGATTAATCATAAATTTTATTTTACAATATACAGTTTTTAAAAAAATCTAGGTTTTATGATTTTGAAATTTTGTTTTGGCTTAGCATAGCTGAGGAGGTATTTACAATGATACATTTTTTTTTGTCTACACCCACTATATCTTCTAAACCACTGAGCCGTAATTTCTTCATGTAACAACACTATGGATCATAAATCATACTTGAAAAGTACTTTAATGGACAAACCATGTACAAAGTTTACCCCTTTCCCAAAAATCAAGAAAAACAACCAAAAAATGTGCACATTTTTGAAATTAAAATTACAGCGCTCTACATTTTTTTTAAAAATAGTCAAATACATTCCAAATTTGTATTGAATATTGTTTAGATATATGTATTACTACCGATAAGCATTGACCAACCAAAAAAATTTCATAAACCTTTTCCCCTAGAGGGATGGAAACTTTTCTATAAAATCTCAATGAAAGTGCCCAATTTACAGTTTTTAAACGTTTGAGCATAATTCAAGAATAAATTATAAGTATTTCATTTATATTAACTAACATCATATTATTATTTCATGTTATTCAATTATTCAAATATTCATTGCCCAAATCTAGGGAGGAGTTATAGGGGGGAAAACCTCCTGATTTAATGACAATAAATAATTGAGCATAAGGTAAAGTAAATTCGTTTTTTAAAAACTAACCTACATTTGTACAAATACTAATATTTGTATTAATAGAATGTTCCACCTCCCAATGTATAGCTTTAAAACATGGTTAGACAGAATGCGCTTTATTCGGGCAATGATAGCTTGAGAGAAAAACACTATAATGAAAATAAAAGAGAATGATATTTTGAAGAAAATTATATATTCTTTTCTTATAATAATTCCTAGAAAAAAAGGTTATCAGTTATCACTGATATCAAAAATGTAAAAAATGCCTTAAGCTAACAATAGGATATGTCCAAAATGCTATACTCTTTCAATTTCATAATAAGAGGTTATGCTCTAAAACCATCACAAACCAAGTATTATTCATTTTGAATAGCTATGCTTAAGTTAAAAACGTTGCCAAGGGGGCTATGATGGTCTGATCATAATAATTTCAATAATAAATTATCAATAAAGTATCATAACAAACATAAACTAATAAATATACAAAATTGTATTAACTTAAATTGCCGCTAATAATTATATCATCTTAGTAACAATGCATTATCATTGATTTAAATGTATTATCGTAATCAAGAAGAAATACACTATAAAATAATAAATCTAAGATGGGTAGTCCTAACCAATCTAACTAGTAAGTAAAATTAAAGTTTTTAATGTCTTAGATTAGATTTTTTTATTTATAAATCCAAAACAGTAAAAATCTAATTTATGACTGCCTGTCAAAGAAATGTAGCAGCCGTTAGTTTTAATTCAGTTTATGACAGTATTCCAATAACAGCAAGTAAAAAAGAAAATACTCCTAAATACCAAATGCAATGTTGATCGCCTGGAATGTCGTAATCATAACAATGATAAAGGTACAACAATTAAAATTTGATTTTATTCAGATTTGAATCAAAATATGAATTTTGAGGATGGGGTATTTTAGATAATAAGTCATAAACTCTTCTAGCTTCTTACAAAATGTTTTTTTTTTCTATTCAACCAAAATAATTCATCTCATATATTACTTATATCAGACTCAACATTAATTTAATAAAATTATCTAAATTTTGAGTTTATACTGTGTACTATAAAAATATTTACCTCCAACGTAATAGTTCATTTTGCATCTGGTGCAACACGGAAACTTAGTACGATTCATGACGATTTAGGAAATCGTTCACGGATAACTTGATTTGAAATTCAAAAAATGAAAGCAATCGGTATCATTTAACCTTTCGATACAATAATAACCCGCAAACGTTCATATGTTATAATATGATTTTAAATCATCAACAAAAACAATATTAATAGTCAGTAAATGTAAAATGAATACATAATATATGAAATTTAACAGCGAACTACAATATCGGCAGCCGAAAAACCGAAGCCTTTGTTTTTGGATACCATGCTAAGTGCCGGCATGTTATTTTTCCAAGTAGTTAACGATCAATTACGGAAACAACAACGGTAAACAACACTTATAATACATACAACGCCTGTAATCTCTTTTTGACGCTCAACGCATTACGCTGACAGCCGAACAAAACTAAACGTGTTAAGTTCGGACTTCGGCCGATGGAGGGAAATCGTTATCACTAAACCATGCTTTAAAACACAACCTAAGCTGCTAGGTATTCTTAGTTCGTGCTGCGAATACAATATGGTTGACTTTATGATTTATGGGTTCAATATGGGTTAAATTAGGTTAGGTTAGGTTTTCGTCCAAAATTAAATTACCAAAAAGCGTGGTTTATTTATACTATATTATATTGTGTGTCAACTCACCACAGAGTACAGACCTATGATAAAACGAGCAATGTTGATAAGGCGTGGAGGCATAACACACTGATAAATAGCAAAATCATGGAAGAAAAATATTTATTATCAAATGAACATATTCAAATAATATTTTAAATCACATATTCACAAAGGCTTTAGTGTTAAGCTTCGGAAATAAGAATGGTCAAATCTCTTATGACTTGACTCGCTGTAGGTACATAAATAAAATTCAACAAATCATTATGTTGCATGTGCATTTCTTAGGTGCCACCTACGCCCCTACAAGCTACACCACATTTAAAGAAAAAGTGAAATAAAAAAAAAATAATAATGCTATGTTGCATAAAATGTATTATTTAAAAAATAATAAATTTAAAAATATTTTGAACGAAGTGGCAATCATTTTTCAATATTTTTATGGAAAGCTTAAGACTTTTACTTTTGGAACTAAAACGCGGTTTTTTTTATTTAGTTATTAGAAGAAAAAAATAGTAATAAATATTCTCAACACAAAACTTTAGAAATACAAATGAAAATCGGTCTTATAGCTAACATAGATGCTTATATCAATTCACATAGCAAAAAAAAAATCACAATAATATGAAGAATGTGTAATAATTGCTAAGAAGGTCGTCGATGGTGTATTTTGTACAGAATAAAATCAATACTCGTGTTGTAAAAATTGATGACATAATCTGCTGACAACCTTATTTTAATTAAATGTTTAATTAACTAGCTAGTGGCCACGGTCCATGCTCCATAGTCTACATTGACATCGGAATGGCTGTGTAATTATAATTGTTGACTTTTGGGCAGTGATGAGGTGTGTTAATTTTATTATATACATTAAATGCATTATTAATATTATTGTAAAAAAATATCCATCTTGTTTAACTCCTCGCCGTTGTGAAAAAAAAATGTAATTGTTAAAAACCTTAAAAATTATAAGAACATTGGTGTTTTTTTATAATCAATATGATATAAAAATATGTTACGGCATGGTCACTGATAACACTGGAGAGTGGAGGAGTGAGGATAGTGGATACAATTAAACTGCAGTAAAGATGGTAATGACCAATTGGTGTAAATAGGTATAGTAAGAGAGATAATGCTCAAAAAAGATAACAAGTGTCTTGAAAAAAGATAATTTACAATAAAACGAAGATGGCATTTGGCATGGCTGAACTGAGTGCAGAGGTTAAGGAGATTTTAAACTAGGGCGATCGGTCATCAACTATTCAGGAATAATCGGTGTGGAAGAATAAGAAGAAGAATTTGTAAAACTTACATCATGTTATAATGTAATATATTATATTTATAATGTGTACAGAATATACACGTGGATATTATGATTAATACAATAATATATTAAAAACATATTTATTTTAGTTTAATTATTCAAACAGGCTAGACTAACTTCGAAATTACCGTAATTTGGTCTTATCCCCATTTGGTAAAACATCACAGGTTTATAAATAAAAAATAATAATTTGAAAATACACAATTAAAATGTACAATTAAATATGTTACATAATAACATTTGTTATACATACTATTTTATTTAAGTATTTATAATAAATTATATTATGTAAGGCACGTTAGGTTATATACTTATATATAAATATTTTTTTAATTAAACAAATATGTGATCAATCGTAAACAATTACAAGTTCTTCTTTTTACAAGTTCATCTCTGACCAAAAATTTTCAAAACACTTTTACCATTTAGTACATTAAAAAATCTAAAGATTTCTTTGGAAAAATAAGAAAAATAGTTCATCGGAAATAGCCTGATTTGTCGTTCTTTAGTGCGTAAAATGAAACTACACAAATCCATAAATGAATCAGAGCATTGTAAACGCGATTCATTGTCATTTATCTTCTATCAAGAATAATAATAGAAATTGTGCTGTCAAATGAAATCAACCTACAATAAACTATCGTCACGTAGCTAACAATTTATAATTACCGAGAAATAACATAATATTAAATATTTACAGATTCGAATTATGCATACTAAATAGTACTGCTATTTTATTTTTACTAAAACGTCAACTATTTGTTTTGGTATAACACAATACAAAGAATAAAATACGGAATATTATTATAGAAAAATATCTGTAATACATTAATGTAGTACACCTACACAACATTGCATGTACTATATTTTTGCTTATTTACAATTTGTATTTATTATAGTCTTTTAACTCTAAATTTAAAAAAAAGTGACTACAGCAATTTTTAGCAGAATTAAAAATAATTTTTTGATTGAAAAAAAAATTAAGTCAAGCTTAATAATTAGTAATAATAATAAGTAATTTATAAAACGTCAATTATTCGGTAGAGCCAACCATATATAATGTAATAATAATATAATACATAGTTAATAATATTTAATTGTCACTTATTTAACCAAATGATGCAACCTTATACAAACTACAACTATATTATACTATATATACAAAAATTAAATATTTTATCTAGTTATTATAATTGCTAAATTTTGTATTTCGAAATTATATGGTACTGAGATAATATTGCTATAATAATAGATAGGTTTACACCAATCAACTAGTAATGATAAATCGTATGCGTTAAAAACGACTCAAGGGTTGAAGTTAAAGTGAATAAATGTAATTCTATGTGTTGTCATAAGACTGCGAAAATTAGACCGAATATTTATATGTCTACCATACATTAAAATGTCACATTAAAACTTTTTTTTATCTCCGAAAAATTATTTTAAAAATGTTGTTGCGATCAAACACACATGTCTTCATAACGTGTGAATACGAGGGAAAACCAAAATTATCGAATTATGATAGTCACAGGATATAGTATCATATAAATTAAATGTTATCTGTATTTTATGTAATAGTTATAGCACAGATTAATCTGTGGTTCTAGCGTGACTAGTGTGTCATTAGTCATTACATACTTTGTTCTTAATATCGATTAAAAATAGTAAAGTACATTTAAATATAAATATATTTATATATACCTTCTAAATGTTTATCATAGATCATAATGATGATCCAATGTTTATGAATGAAGGTATATTGCCTATTGTAAATTTACGGTTTACCGATAATGATAATAATACGTCGACTCTCTATAATGTTAATATTTACTGATAAAAATGGCAATACAATACAAATAGGTTTTTTTTATGCTTTCAACATTCAGTGAAATATTTGTCTAATCGGTTAAATTTTTATTTTTTAAATGTAAATGAATTATTTTATTAATTGATAAAGGCCAATAAAATAGTATATCAAAATTCACAGTCAGATAAAAGGCATTATCTTACAATTAGTCTAAAAATCCAAAAATAGCAACCAGAAAAAAAAATATTATCTTTTTTTTCAATTTTCGCTTGACATTAAAATAGTGGTACGGGGGACATATCCTCCCTCGAGCTGTTTTCATTATACAGTTTCCTTTATTTCTCATTATAATATTACTCTTATATCCACCTGTTATTTCTGACATTCTAAATTATTAAAAAAAAAAAACTAACGCTGGTTGACATACGATGGTAATGAGTGGGGATACAAAGCTTCCTTGGGTCAATGAAATGTTTACCAATGTATATTATCCCCCCTTCACAAAATAATACAAAATATCTCACTTGTTTTTTTACTATACACCATAGGAATTTACAATTATATTTGTCCGTCAGAAATTATATTATATATTATTCAAGGGCGCCCGCATTAGAAAATCCTACTGAGGGCAAGAATGCGAGATCAATTAATAATATAATTTAATTGACTTTGATACACTTCCAGTTCATCGAAGTCTTAGTCTCAATTCTTATAAATATATATATTTATATGATATATCCCATGTACACTCATTTATTAAATTACTATACCATACAAATATTGGCCGTCCCCAATTAGCTAGAATGAAGGTGAAGGAGAAGAAGACTACCATGAAAATAATATATATATATTTTCAAACTTTTATAACAGCATTAAAAAAAACTAAACACCATACATGAATTCTAGACGACAGGTTTAAAATAAAACTGATGTTCATTATTATTGAGTTTTGTTTTTTATCTGTAAAAAAATAAAAAAGCATATATTGTAAGGTGTTATGGTTTATTTTTTTCAACTATTTAAGTGTAAAAATTAAAAAAAACCTTATAACATAATACTTGTATAGAATTTTAATGCAGATAATTCAGCAATAAAATATAATATTAGGGGATCTTAACGCCCTATAGAAACATTTGGCGTAAAAACCGTTTTGAAAAATATTCAATACCAAAGCTCTGAGAAGAGTTTCTTCTTTTTTACCAGTAAAATGAGAATTGTACGTTGTAGGCACTCTTTTTGGGAGTACTTAGGTATAGGCACTTTTTCGCAAAAACGTATTTTGTATGTCTTGTAAATATGTCATTACAGTAATAATTGTTGGAATATTAATTTAATGAGTAGTTGAAAACGGGTTTTCGATACTCTGCTAGTCCTTTTATTATCAGTTTCTAAAACATTCTTTTTTTCTACCGTATTATAATATTGTAAATTAAAAACACATGACTAATACAGAGTAATATTGTTGTTATTTGTTCACATGTGACATGGTTAATATCGCTGTGTTAAGTCATATGTGTACAGTATTTTGTGAATTGTTGTGCGTTTTCGACGTGGGAGTAAAAATTTGTCCGTAGATGGCGCTCCGTTCATGAAACTGCTACGAACCTCCGCCCCCTAGTATATTTGATGGTCATCTGTTCTGTGTTCATACTTTACTTACTCAGTGATTGCTTATCTGACGATAAAATTTCGCCTTTTGTGTTGTTTTGTAGTATTTGGCAATAGGTGTGTGTGTGTGTATATATAATGCAATAATGTACTGCGAATATTTTAACATATTACAATATAAAACATTTTACTAGTCGATTTCAAAAATGTTTGCATAGATGTGTTGGTTAATTTAAAATCTGCTGGTTATTGGCCGGCCAATAGCCATGCAATTATTATGTCAAAAGTGAGTATAGATATGATGAAATATTATTACAATAATACTAATCTTAATATTACACACTGTAGGCAACATGGGTTTATTTTTAATTTAGTAAAACTGTTAAATTTCATGTTATTGTGCAAATAAAAAAAAAAAAAAAAAAACGTTATAAAGAGTACCATACCTATGAGTAAAATAAGAGCAGATTTTATAGTTTACATTTTTAAGGTCAACCGGTTGTCAAACAATTGATTAGTTTCGGTCCAACGCTTTCTTCAATCTGAAAAGAAATTTTACATTCTGATAGTAGTTTATCCACAACTGTTGACTCGATACTTGTACAAAATGTTTACATCACTTCTAGACATGTCGCACAAACTGTGTGATGTGTAAGGTTCAATTTTACCGATATACAATTTATTTTTTAATGGCATTGCAAACCTCAAGGTTATTTCCTGCTTCTTATTTTATAGAACCCAGTTTGCCTATGGAAATGTTAAACTAAACGCGTGAGTTTAAGTTATATTATAAATATTAATATATTTTGTTACGTTTTTTGATTTTCAAATCTACTTTTATAAAAACATACCTAACTGAAGTTTGTTGATATCGTAGTTATAGGTTTGTGTTTATTGAGTATGGATTTTTACAGATGCATTGATATTAGACCTTAAATATTCTACATCGGGTGTTATCTAAGACAAAAAAATCCTATGCCCAAAATGGCTAACAAACCGTGGAACGCTGCTACGTAAGTAACTAATAATTTATTTATATAAAATTCCCCTTTTGTATAGAAGATCATTACTACCCAGTGGTTCAGAATTCATTTAATAGTATGTTTAAACACTAAAGATAATAATTAAAAGTCACTTAAATAATCAATTTTGTTTTAAATTATTTGGTTGAAAACTGTTAATAATTATTTTAATAGCTACAGTTGGTAACTGCATCGGATGTATTTATTAATGAAACAGTCTTATCTTATTATTAATACTCTATATAAATTCCATTGACCTGTTATCCAGAAACTTTGATCCTTAATATCATATCATATGAAATGTGTCTGGTTATTTTTTATATCATTTTTACCTTCTAGCCATACCAGTCGTTTTATTCATTTCGATAAAATTTGCTTTGTATAAAGTGGCATGTTGTGTCTTTGGTAACAATATGTCAATTGCGTTGTGCTAATATTTAGAGATAATTACAATTTTAAATTAGTGTTTTAATATTCATTTGTAATAATGTAATTATGCAGTGTAGTTGGTAAAAAATTAAATTATTATACAACTTGCTAACTGTGAATTAATGTATTATTTTTAATTTTATATTTCCTATAAATATTTATTTTAAACCGAGTTAATATTATTTTTTGAAATTAAATTAAAAAACTACGTATTGTGATTGTTCAATTATTATTATTAGCACTCGTTTACATCTGGACCATTGTTACCAGATCAGAATCTGTTACTTTTTACTTAGATATTTTAAAGTTATATGTGTTTATAAGCATCAAATAATACCATTGACAACATGTTGGTAAATATGCAATACTTAAATGTCTTACCTAGTTTTTCTGCTGATGAAATTGCAATGAGCCGTTGCAAATCGCCTGTTGGATCGTCAGGAAGTATTAGAGTAGTACGCCACGAACGGGGAGGTTCGGCTGATACTGGTCTCATAAGGGCAGATAATTTGTCCAGTTATGCGTCAAGTGAAGAACCTAATCCTACTGGTGCCAACGAAGATGATGGGGTAAGTAAATTAAAAAAATAATCTTAAAGGTTATGCAACTTGCTTAAATTGATTATCTGTGTAGGATATTTTCTATAATTCGTACGGCACATATAACGGTAGCGAATTGGCAGATGACGCAGACGGTACCAAGACTAGAGCTGCCATGGACCATGTCCGTTCCAAAATTACACGTACAAAAGATCTGATACGTAGTGAACAAACTGCAAGAGATGGTATACAAATATGATTTATTCTAATAAAAGAAATTGAATATTATACTTTTTTGCGTTTGTTTTATTAGTATTTTTTTTTTTTTTTTATGTAGATAATGTAAATGAATATTTAAAGTTAGCGTCAAATGCAGATAAACAACAGTTGGCACGTATTAAATCAATTTTTGAAAAGAAAAATCAGAAATCTGCTGTTAGTATATCACAGCTGCAAAAAAAACTCGAAGGATATAACAAACGACTTAAAGACCTCGAAACACACGGGCTCACTACTTCACATCACCTGAAACAACCCAAAGAAATGCTGAGAGATGTTGGACATGGTTTAAGGTAAATCATTTTTTGCTTATGAAATAAACAAAGGATTGAATACATTATGCTTTGCCCATACTAATGAAACGATCACCGAATTACAACACAGACTAGTGTTAAAGCTAAATTTTGTGACAACATTACATTATAAGTTTAAATATATAAATATTCATACATTCGTTTTGTAGTTTGAAGTTTCGGCTCGCTAATGTATACAAAATCTTTAATGTGATTTTATTGAATTTATGCCGGGACAAAATCATTGCTTGTTTTGTTCTGGTATATTTTATGATAATTCTTAAGGGTTTAAATAACTTTATATTTCTACTTTTAAAGGCATGTTGGAGGAAACATAAGAGATGGAATTTCTGGCTTATCTGGGTACGTACAATTAAATACATATTTCAATGCTTTTAATAGACTCTATTACTTAATACAACAGAAACTATCTTATAGAGTGTTTTTTTCATAACATAATATTAAAGTTTATTTTTTTAACTACTAAAATATGGCCTCTTCAGTTTATGTTGAGTATTGTTTAAATTAAAATGACAAAATTACTCTACATTTTAGTTTTTAAATACAATTAGTATTATCAAGGTTATGAGTTTTTTAAATTAAAAATTCTCAAAGCCAATAAACAGTATTTTTTACAATTAATCATTGTTGTCTCCAAATAAAGTATTTTCATTAATTATTTATTTAAAAAAAACATTAAATTAAGTGATGAGATAATGTAACATAGATGTTGCAATAATCATGGTAGTAAATTTTATCTTTTTTATTATTAGCAATGTTTTTCAGATATGTGTCATAAATATTAATAATAAAATGATAATTTGATCCAATGAACACATTACACAATTTTAACAATTTTAATTGATGGATGTCATGATAACTTAATAACGTTTAATTTTTGCACATATATTAGTATTTTATTTGAAATTTTGAGAACTTGATGACTATTTTTTTGTGATTTAGTTCAAAATGCATTATACTATAATTGAATAATAATTGGTTTTGGTTTTAGCAAGTTATTACATTATTGTCTTTTTATTTTTTTTTAGATCTGTCATGTCAAAACCACGAGAATTTGCTCACCTTATTCGTAACAAATTTGGCAGTGCTGATAATATCAATTCGATATCAAGTAAATATACACCAATCGTATTTACTATTTACCATTTATCAGAAAAAATTGTATTATTGTTATTTCAATTTTAAAACCATAGAATTTTATTTAGGATCCAGTGAAGTCGATTTAACAGAAGACAGTAGTGACAAACAAAGCAGTCGTAACCACCACGGTAGTGCAACGTTACCTGGCGGTGTTGGCCTTCACACGTCAACTACTAATGGCCCTGCTGCATCTCGTAGTGAAGACGGTGCTTCGGAATGCAGGTAAATTTCATAATATTAAATAATTTATATTTTTATTACATACTTTTTCGCTTGCAATTAATAATTAACTTTATTAAATTTTAAGTTCTGTGACGAGCGAATCAATACCTCCACGAACTGGGCAAGCTCCACCGCCACCTACATCTGTGACCACGTCTTTGGAACCAGTTTGGGCGGAATTAGATCATTTACGATCGAAAATGGAACACATAAAACAGTTGGTGTCCAAAGATATGGATAAGATAGCTTCCTTAAATCATTCCCTTCAAGAAGAACGCTTTCGAACCGAACGGTTAGAGGAGCAAATCAACGACTTGACTGAATTGCATCAAAACGAAGTGGAAAATCTCAAACAGACCATCACAGATATGGAAGAAAAAGTGCAATATCAAAGCGAGGAAAGACTTCGCGACATACACGAGATGCTTGAAGCGTGTCAAACAAAAATGTCGAAAATGGAACATCAACAGGCGCAACATCAACAGTACGTCACTCTGGAGGGCTTAGACAATTCTAACGCGCGAGCGTTGGTTGTAAAATTGATAAACGTTTTACTCACCGTACTCCAGGTGGTCTTACTTCTAGTAGCTACGTTTGCTGGCATTCTAATGCCGTTCCTCAGGACTCGTTTACGAATAATTACCACCACGGCCGTTGTAGCTGGATTGTTTATTGCTGTTAAACAGTGGCCGGATAGCATTAGTCTGAGTGATTACCTCATAAAGCATGGCAAACAAGCCCTTCTATCGGTGAAATAGTTTTCTCTCGTATCCACGAATAAAACTTACCTACCTACACTTACACCACACAACATTTTATGTTGATTAATAGATGGTATTTCCATTTATGCCCAAATTTACCATGACAATTTTGATAAAAAAAATATATATATCACGACAGAATTAAGAAAAAAATTATAGTCATAAATTATCCTTCATTTACGTTTGAACGATATTTTTCAGAAATAGACAATATAATATTTACCCTTTTTCTCTCACACTCTGTCATGACTATTAATTTTTTTTTTTTTTTTATTAAACTTATATTTTATATCAATTCAACTGTCATTTTTTACTATATTATACCCATAACGTGTATTGTTTTATTATTTTTTTTTATATATATAATTGGTAGGCAATATGTAGGGCTGTATGGTGAACCACCAACGGTGATAGCGATTACAACGAAACGGTAGCACTTAACTATTGTAATTTGCAATGATTTTTATTGTATTTTTATATCCCAACAATATATTTTTTATTTATTTTTATATTTTTATTAATTTTAATTGTGCTTTGCTCTCCCTTTCCTCCCCACAATATGTTATAGTTTAAGGAATAATGTGATTTATTATAAATTCTTACATCATTTTGTTATTTTTGTAAATAACTTTACGTAGTCAATATTTTAAACATTATATAATTTTTAGAATAAATGATTGGCCTTTGCGGTTCACATATTGAACCATTCTTTATAGTTTAATAATATTTTATAGTATTATAATTGATAAGTAGTTATTAAAGTATGATATTAAGTATGTGACAATGATAATGTGTAATATGCTCTAGCTTAATGTTTCTTACTTCTCTATATTCCATCTAGTAGTTTTTTACATTATTATTATATTTTTAAATAATAATATTGCACTAGTTGTGTGAGATTTAAGTTAATTGCCTTCGGTAACATTACAATTTGTCTTGATACATTTATAATCTTCAATAAAAATGTAAATGAACGTGTGCATTATTCGTTAAACTAAATGTACAACAAAGTAAAGTATTAATTAAACTAATTCTATTTTTTTGTAAGTTATTCATGCTTTTAAAATTGTTTACGAAATTATTACAGTCGTTCATTTTTGATAAATATACAGCTCTGTGCAGAACGTAAATAAATATTTTTGATTTCATGTAGTGAATTAGTGCAATACTCATGATAATGTCTATAAAAATGTTCCTTTAAGGATTTCTAAATGTGAATTGCATTTATATACAAGTCATATCGCACACGAAAAGTTACCTTTATTCTCATTGTACATTTGTTTTATATTATTATACTAAAGAGATAAAAATATATTTTATTCCATTTTCTTTTTACCAAATTAACTAATTTTCTCTTCACGGAAAAAAAAAATATATCTATGGTATATACATAAGTACATTGCAATTCTATTTGGCATATTTCGGTAGAAAGTAAAATTCTCCGTCGGGAAGTTCCTGTTAATTTATTATTTTTGTTTTTTTTTTTACTTGTTTTTTGTTTGTATTGTCATTTAATTAACTTGATATGATATTTATATAAATGTGATAAAAAAATAATAATAAAAAATTCAAGGATACTCAATTGTTAAATCATTCGATAGTTGTGATGCGTTGTCAATTTGCTGTCAGTATATCGTCATGCGTTAAAAGTACTAGAAGTGACTTAAAGAAATTTAAGCTTAGAATAACATTAAGATTTTAATACTATATTGTGTAATATATATTTATATTTGTCTGTGTGTCTAGAGATATAATAATTTATAATTGATAAATATTAAAGATTACCATTTTAAATATGTACTATGATGGTTATTGATTATTATTATTTAATTTTTTTGTAAAAACAAAATTGTTTGCAATTAGAGAACGTAGTACCTTCAATTATTTTTTTTTCTACATTCAATTTTACTGTTTTTTCGAGGCTTGTTTTAATAAAAGCCAAAATATAGTTTTCCATAATATTTCCTGCATGACCCTCTTATTTATGTCATTCCAAAATTTTTATTTTACTAAAACTATACATAAATTATCAAAAAGAAAAGTTTTACATTTTGATTGCAATCAAAATTGATTGTTAGCTCACTTTTTGCCCTTTATGGTGAATGACCCGATAAACCAACTTGGGCATTATTTAAATAATTTCGTATTTAAATAACAATCCTAGTAGTTAATACGACTTAATTTTTATATAGAAAAATATCCAAATAATTTAAAATAAATTTGTATTTGAAAAAATAAAAAAATGATTAAAATAAATTTTCAATTTAAACTAAATAGTTTTTATTTAAATACAAGTTTTGATAATAAAATAAAATAAGCTAGTTTTTAAAAAATTATTTTAATAAATTATTATTTGAAATACCCAATAAACTAAAATGTAATTTAGATAAAAGTTTATTAGATGCCGAAAATACAAGTTTAATTTTATTTTATGTGCTAAATAAATATTGTTGTTATCTATTTTTTCTCTCTCCTCGTGTCTGGATCTACAATAATTACTATTTGTCATTTTTTATATTTAAAAAAAAAATTCCCTCGTTTTTTAATGAGTTACATTTATTTCAGATACACGGCAGAATATTTAAACTATCTTAGTAAGAAATGTTCTTGCTAATAATTCAAGAGAAAAAAAAACAGACAAGAAAAAGATGTAATCGGTGAAGTTTGTAATGTAATTTATTAGGTACTCGTTTTTAAATATTGTTAAGAATTTATTATTTTAAAACATTACGAATAATATAATACCATTCGATCAAAAGTTAACATTATTAATATTATTTATTTTTGTTTAGTCTAACAATTTATTTCACAATTTGCTTGTTTCGATTTCCGGGTAATCCATCAATCAAAAGTATTGCCACAGCTGGTTTTTGCAAGTCGAAACGAAATAATAAGTTTGAATATCAAAAAATGCCAAATAAAATTGTCAAGTTATGAACGTATGTATAAGTAGGTACTGTATTTTATGAGCGCTGTTTTTTTTTAGATAACGTCAATTTTACTATTAAATATTAATACTTGTAAAATTAAATTAATGCGTTTTTGAAGCGTGGTTGTCTCTATTTTATCAAATGGGTCAACGTTTCACCGGCCACGTTTACACCGCAGAATATTCTATAGTGGATAATATATTTTGTATACAGTGTTTAGCGTTTAAACTATATTTTATAAGGTAAGTACACTCGTGTCTAAACACATATTATATATATGTATTTTTTGTTTGGCAAAAACAATCTATCTATACTTGATGGGTTACATTACTGATACGGACACACCTACTTACACACATACCTATTTTAATAACTTAGCCCGCGCGCTCTTCTCGTGGAAGTTTACCCGTTTTATTGTGTTTAATTTTCTTCTTTCAATTTATTATTTTTTTTTTTTCATACAAAAATATAATTTATAATTACAGATAAGCTTGGAAAAATTTGAGAGGCTACTAAGTATTTGAATAGGGGATGGCTAAGCTACGCCTTTTTAAAGTTTTTATTCGTTTTAAACCGTTCAACGTTTAGTTGCTTACTACAAAACATGAACTGTGTACACTTACCCGTTCAGTTACAGCTTAAAGTTATCGGTTATTTTACAAGTATATTATATTTTGATCTTAACGACATTTGTATAAACCGTTTCAATTTTAAAAAAGATACGATTAAATGCAGTGTCGAGACAATTATAATTTTGAAAAATTACACGATTCAAAGAGTGACTAGATTCAAAACGCGACCTTCAATCATTACTGTTTGACCTGGCCAGCCGTCACTATCAACCATACCTACTTAACTGTTAATCATAATTATTCATATGGCGTCAAATATCGGACGATTCGGTTAATACTCAGACAAGAAACCTTTGGCCGGAATAATCACTTAGTTTTATTTATTAAATAATAAGCCGAGGAGGAGCGGTGGACACGCCAATGATTTTTAAAAACTATATGTAGGTACCTACCACCGTAGGACATGTGGTGTATAATTAATATTTGTGTACACTTGAAACACGATTGATCATTTTGAATTTAAAATTTTTTTCGCCGGTGTAAAACCGACACCGGCGGCCATTTAGTCGTGCGTGCAGTTTTCACAACTACTTAGTCTCTTAGACATTACTTATTAGTTATTAGTTATTATTATTATAATTATTTTAATGACGGTGATCTTCTGCGCGCACAGACACGGTCGTGTGGGAGACGGTGCGCGGCTGTATATTATATTATATGGGCCAGAGTCAACATATTTTAATGATGATGTTTTATTATCGTTTTATTTATTTTTTTATACAGCTAGAGATGCGTAATAATCATAATATATTATTGGTATTTGGAAAATGTCTACCTCGTCCGACCGTCTCCCGGGTTATGTCACGACCTCAGGCAAGGCTGAACACGAGCCAATGACGTCACACAACGCCATTAGCATAACGCTTGTGGATCAGACGGGGGCGGGCCATCGACCCCGGTGGCGCCAGTGTTTGCGGCTAAGCTGTTAAACGACAATAATATTATAAAACACAATTGCCAAGCGCAAAACGTTATGATTGTTTTATTATTATTTGTTGTGTTTTTAAATCTCCCAAATTGTATAAATAGGAAAAAAAATCTCTACCCTCCGTGTTTGTATAGAAGAGTGTCTACGTTATAAGACTTTTTAAATTATAGCAAAAAATTATTAACGGGCACGCCGTGAAAATTGTAGAAACTATAAAAATCAATATTTCACACCGTACCTATGTCGTACATTTTTAGACTATATAATTAATACAGTCAAAATAAGACGTCTATCGATACAACGAAGAAAAATAGTGAAAAACGTTAGAACAAATGCTAAAATATTGTCTAATACAAACAAAATATTTTGGTTTATTTTACACCTGAAAGCCTGACAAAATTACGCTTACTCATAGAATGATCAGATTTAAATTTTCCAAAGAAATTCAAATTCCTTGACCTTTTTTAATGTTTACTAGGTTGTATAGAAAATCGATTTTAATTTAAAAAAATGCAGTTTCTTGTAATTCAATAAATTTAATTTGAAAATTGTTCAATATTAAAAAACTAATTTTTCACATAAAAATAGCTGTTTCCGAAATAACTTAGAATGCTCCAATTTTAACACTTCACTACTTTACTTAAGTAGTCGACATTTTGTCTGGCTTTTTTGTAAAAAAAAAAAAACAAATGACCTCCAATCCTTTTAACTAAATAAATATATGGATTTTAATTCTAAACTATTATTATTATTATTTATGTAAATACGTGAATACTGTATAGTGTATAATTATTAATTTAATGTAGTACAATTACTTTTGCCCAAAATATGTTCCTACCCTGTGCCATACAAAAGTTTTTATGGCCAACCTACAGCCACGTCCCGTAGCACTTTTATTTCAGATTTTAGTCGCCTAAGGTTTATTTTTACAGAAAAATGAATATCACACTTAGTACCTGTGTTTCGTGTCGAGCTGATACATGTTGAAAAAGGGGTATTTTTAAATGAGCAACAAACCAATATGGCCAATTTCGCCAAAAATTATTTTCATTACAGTTTATAAGACGAGCACGTTTGAGATGCTAAATTCCGTCTGAGGAAGAAGCGTGTGATGACTTGTATTTATGATGACACTCGCCCCTGTTCATGGGGAACCATTAAAGATGATGAGTCGGTGGCCTCGAATTTTCATTTTCGTATCAGTGACGGTGGCGTCCCAAATACATGCTAATGATTTTACTAAATTTACAATTTTACGATTATGTTTAAGACTAAAAATGGTTGCGATTAAAGATAGGTGAAGTCATCCAATTACAATTACATTTTCAATTGCAATCAATTGTCTTTCATATACAATATATATGTACAATATATATATATATGATTTTATTTTAGTGAGATCTTTACAGTATAATAGAACAATATAACTTATGCACTTACACAGGAAGAATTCTTTTATGAAAATTTAAAAAGCTAGTTTCCTTACAAGTATAGTTCACACCGACACGTCGACTAGTACTCGTGTAGAGTTTAAAAAAAATTTTGAATAACGTACTAAAAGGTACGATAAAACTAAAAGCGTGTATTATAATCATATTATTATCAGTTATAATGTTCATTTGATCATTTTTTAAAAAAAAACTTGACAAGTGACTACGTATATATTTTTTGATTCACAAATGCAAACAAAAAAAAATTCTGATAATATCTTTACTTCATTTTTGCTTATACTTGTTTTTTTTTAAAGAATGGAATTTAATACTCGTTTCCAAACCACCCATGAGGTAGAGTATTTGGCTCGTTTTTTTTAACGTGGTATCTCCATGTACGATGATGTTCCAAATTGTAAATCCACCAAAAACGTGTGGTAGGGGAGTCTCAGTGATGTAAGCTAGTCAGTGGGTGTTGTGTGTATAGACCAAGTGCTATCGACTTCATAGGCGGCCACACAAACGGCTATAGTGGACTTATACATCAAAGTCTATCTGGTAAAAGCTTCTAGTTAACTTAATCATGAAGACCTAAGGGTAACGACTCCTTGGGAGGCCACAGAACAAAATATGGTGGACTTATGCATCGAAGTCGATCTGGGCAAAGCTTCAAGTTAACTTATTAACGAAGACCAAGTGATATCGAAATCATGGGCGGCCACACAATAGACTATAGTGGACTTATGCATCAAAGTCTATCGGGGAAAAGCTTCTAAGTAACTCAATCACGAAGACCTAAGGCTAACGACTCCTTGGGCGGCCACACAAACGTCTATAGTGGACTTATGCATCGAAGTCGATCTGGGAAATCATAAAAATA